AACGAAAGTCCGTAAAGAAAGTACCTTTTATTGGTGAAAATCGTTGATACCTTTGGAACTCCGGTCTAAAAATGTCATTGCAACAACGGTTCGTGAGCGTCGAACGAGAGCGATACAAGGGGTAACACAGAACTTTCGCATCCACCGGAAGAAGGGCGGTTACCTGAGTTAATTTCCGGCTAACTTAGAAATAAAAATATTCGAGCAAAATATTCCGGCGATTTTGCGTTCATCAAGAGTCACTTTTCCACGGGGTCAGCGGAGGGTAAAACGTTTTATGCGAGATTGGTAAGGTGTAAAGCCAGAAGCCGGTTTTCCGACGGCGAGTAGGTGTAACCGGCATCGAAACGTTCTAGGGAGACGGAAAAAATTTCAGTCATTGGTAATGGTCGACATTAGGGGATGATTACCAGGAAGCCTAGCATTACATTTCCCATGGGACGACCGGGCTATGTGAATGTGGCTTGGGAACCTTCACACTTACAATACACTCTCATTACTTCTTAATGAGCCAAGGCCCAAATAAAACGCACCCAATTTTTTCTATATTTTAAATGAAATGGTTTTTAACTTTATGTATCGGCCAGGAAAAAAACGTATTCGTGGGACCGCTGGAATTTATATAAGTAGCGAAGAATAACACGATCATGGACCGTGAACAAGAAGCATAGACCCGTCTTTTTGAAAGCGTTGAAAATCGGCCCTGGCTTTTCCGTGTAATCCACTTCCCCCGAAAGCGTTTAGCTCTACCCTGTACTGGGCGATACATTAAACATAAAAACGGGTAACAGGTACCAATCCGATTTTCGACGCTGGCTTGAATCCGGTACTAGAGTGATCCACAATTGACAAATTGACCCATGGATATCGGTGTAACTGTGCCCAGTTAGGGTAGAGCGATATAATTAATCGTGTTGGGAATGTATTAACACGTCTCGATTCTGTTGAAAAAGCCCAAGTCTGAAAAACCGCCGCACTTTTCACACATTTTTAAAATCGGTACACCAATGCACATTAGCGGAATCGACTTCAAAAACGATGTAAACCGATGTACAATGACAGATGAGACATGAGCTCCTATGAGATTACAAGGCACGCAATTTCATTTTAAATCAATTGATACACTTATTAAGTTTAAACACAAGTCGTAAAATCAAAGTTGAAGAAGCGACAAATGGTAGAACAATGAAAATTTCCAAGTACAAATAACTTAGCCTAAGTTGTTGCGGTTGGAGGTTGAACGTGTAGCGCCGGCCCACTGAGTATGGCACTGTGGAACCACGGGAGTATCACTGAGTACCCGTGAATTCTTTCAGTGCCATTCTCAGGAGGTAGCTGCCGAGTGGCTTGCCGGGAACTGACTGCTCCGTACGGTGGTTGGCCCCAGGATTAATGGTGGGGGCTTCGATCTGCTTCGCTGCCTCCGGGAAAAAAAACCTTTACACAACAGCGCGACACGCCGCGACCAAACGAAACGTAACGAAACTGAGGAGAGTGAGAGAGAGAGAGTTTGAGAGAGGAGGGAGAGAGAAGGAGCGAGAGAGAAAAAAAACTGGGGCATTTGAGTGAAACGAAGCGGACTATTTCCCCGGTGAATGGTTGGCGGCGATCTCACGGAACTCATCGTTCCACCTATTATTTAATCGGTTCGGAAGGTTGAGAAGAAGAACCGAGCTCGGAGTCGGATATGTCATCGGTCTGGCGTGTGGTTTCGCCTGGGGTAGCCTGGATAATTACCTTGAAGGGTAATTAGAAGAAAAACAGAGGAAGTGTTCCGAATGGCCGCGACTCCAGAACAGAGATAAGTGTCCTCTCTAGATAGTAATCTCACAAACCACTCTTTATTTCCAGTAGTTCACTCCCAACTCGCGTTTCCCCTCCGTCTCGTCATTTCGAATGCCGGCAGAAAATCGCTCTTTCAGAAAATTATCTTTCTTGGTATAAATTACTTTAATACACTCTCCCCTTAACGACTTTCAGAGCTTACCCACTGAAATTTGTTTAAAAACTTACTTTAAAAACGAAAAAGGCTTTTAAACCGATGCCTCTGATGCACGGCCCAACCCAAAACCTTCAGAGCTTGTGAGAAAATATTTATACTTGTAACGATATTCTAGAAACTAAAAATAGACCGATTTTAGCGCCAATCAAATCGTGTCAAGGTTTTTGAAAGAGGTGAAATAATAATTATCTCACAGACTATTATTCGTTAAAGAAACAAAAGGAGAGGGGTGAAAGGAAGCGCTAGCGAGCACTGGAAAGCACCTGCTTCTTCACGCCCTACTGCTTACTTTAATGCGCTCATCCTTCTTGAATACTTTTTTAGAATATTGAAGTTCAACAACTCCAACTTTTAAAAAATAAACGAACGTTACAATAAAGCCGAGAAATGTCGTTTCCGGGGCCGGTCGGCTTTTGAAAATGGACGAAGGGGCTTCCCGTCTCTAAAGTTCGTTTCTCTCACTCGGTTTAGTTACGAATGAATTCCTTTTCCGTTATATCTCATCTATCCTAGGGATTATTTTCTCCGTTCGGAACACTCTGGATTTCCAGGCTGGGCAGGAAGATCTTTAACCACAAACAATCTTTTCGATCGTTACTCGCAGAGCCGGCAATAATTAAAAGACGAAAGTCTTTCTGATGCACCAATTAAATTTACATTCAATAATTAAACACAGTATAACAATTATACAACATTAACAGTAGATTAAGTTTAAAAAAAATAATCTAAGAACCGTACAAATACAAAAACTTTACATTATTATAAATACACTACCTTATTACATTTCACAACACATATTCTAATATAATATAATAATTAACATATAATTTCTAGCTTAATACCAATACGTTTCTTTAGTAAATCATGCAGTTTGTCCAGAAAGTAGCAATAAAACTAGTTTGCTTTTGATACAAGATTCGATAACCAGGGTGTTGCAGGGTTAATCAATCCGTCAATACTTCCATGTGGATTCTCTAAATAAGACTTAGTTCAGGGCCACCTATTTTGACTCTTTCCTGAGATATTAGCATTTTTGTTATTGTACATGAAAATCAGATTTTTTAATGTAAAATCGTAATTTCTCAACTTTAACATCATTGAAATTACTTATCTGACTTTATGTCATAAACTATTAAATTTCTCATAACATAACGACGTTTTACAACAACACATCAGTGAAATTGCAAAAATACATAATTTAAAGAAGTTTCATTTTCATCGTAATTTTTCTTTAGTTATGTACATTTTATGAGAAGAATGTATCTAATTTTTGTTACCAACTAATAAATGTTTTTATTAAAAATACATTGTACGATGTTCTTGGGTTGATGTTATCCTTGGGTTCGATATCACTATTTTCAACCTCGCAAATGAAATTTGACTAACAAAAATTCTAAACATACGAAAGTGAGTATGGTGTTCGAATACTTATAAAATAATATAATGTTGGTTCAATGCCCAAAAGTTTGATGAAAAAGTGCAGAAGAGCGAATTTTTCAACGAAAATGTAGTTCTCTTGTGGGAAATTTAATGTAGTTTGTCAAATGAAGGTCCGATTTGTATATCAATGACGCTTAAGTTGAAAAATTACGATTTTATGTTTTAAAAAATCTGATTTTAGGCTATAATCGCAAAACCGTTAATACCTCAGGAAGAGTCAAGATAAATACCTCGTTCTTGTGGCACCGTACTACGTTTTATTTTGTGAGTCCTCCATGGCAGTATTGACATTTAACCCTGTAACACCCTGTACACTCAAGTTAGGAGAAACACGTACAACGGCCAAAATGATAATGTCACAATGCGTATTTCCTACCGTGCTTGCAAAATATGTGATAATCTATTTGTTCCGATCATTTCGTGTAAGACAAGATAAGACCGGGGGGTGGGGAATTTTGCAACACCTAGCAGATTGTTAATAATTAGAAAGCGTTACGGTGAAGGATGCGTTGTTGTGTGGGCAGTCTTCGGTAGGATTCTATCGATCATCGGAATGCTCGAACCAAAAAAAAAATGTGGGGGGATCGATTGACGTTATTATCGGACGGGAGCGGACGTATTGTGATGATTGGCTATGTGATCTCGGTATAGACCCACTAAAGATTAAAGAATCTAAAGCGGAATGGGAAAAGATAAGATGTACAAAATTCCAAAATTATACACACGAGAAAAAGTTTTCTAAAAAAAAATAACAGTAATTAAAGAAAGTATAAATTTAACCCTTTATGGCCTAATATTGACTTAGAGCAAAACGAGCATTTTTTTAAAAAGTTAGCGGGAAATCCGTCAGTTTAGTGCTAAAATGTTTATATTGGCGCCATAGAAATCAGTGATGCCAATACGAGAACAAAACCAGGCACAGGCACCCGCCCTAAAATCACCTGATTTCCTGCTAACCTTAAACAAAATTGCTAATGGTGGCATTGTTCTGAAGAAACATTGGGCAAGAAAGGGTTAAACTGGTTATGAAAAATTTTGTGTTTGGTAAATATAACAACAAAAAATATAACCTCGATACAGACAGAGCCATGTTGGTAATAAAAGATTCCGAGATAAAGATTTTAGATTCGCGCCAAAAAATCAGTTTTGCCAATACAAGGGATTAAACATTGAAATAAAAACCCTGCACCCGCCCTAAGTTCATAGGATCAGCTAAGCTTAACCGAATGTGCTAAAGTAGGTGTTGCCCTGAGGCAACTTTGGCCTAGAAAGGGTTAAAATTAAATGAAAATAATGAGCTAAGCATTATCACAAAAGTGAAAACATTCGTTACCAAATTTGAATGTATTAAAGTTAAGCCAAACGCCACAAGCCAACTAGAATTTCAATAGTTTATTTACGAGATGTATAATGAGTGTTTAAATTTGTTAATGATTTTCTTAATTTAACAAACCATTCATAAAATCCTTCTTGTTAATTGTGAGCGGAAGAAAATTCTGCTCGTCCTTCTGCCAAAGTATCGAAGGACCACAACAATTTAATAAATAAAATAAAATACCTAAACTGTTTAACAAATCCGTTTATTGGAAAATGGACCTCTCATCTGCAGATGAGGCTTAGCGCCACCGTTCCAGCTGTCAACCCAGTAAAGTCGAAAAAAGAACCTGCAAAAAAGAAAAGTTAAAAAATATATTAACATATTGTCTTGTAAAATTCAATGTAATTTTTGATGAAAAATCATGTTACATGATTAAATTGTTAGTTTGTTGAAGAGTATAATATAAAGTAAAGCTAATCTTAATGTCTGTGTAATCCGAACATACTTTTAAATGGAGATTTTTTTTTAATCCGAAAATATAGTTTCCTGTGTGGTATTAATGGTCAGTTACAAAATCTACTTATCCTATTATTTTTCGTTACACTTTCTTCCAAATATTGCGAGGTGACCTTTGGTGACCTAAAGTTTTGAACTATCATCGTTGGAATGGCCGATCAGATGCGTTTCTATTTGCCATCTCCATTGGTGGGTTTAAACAAAATTATTATTAAAAACCGACGGTAGGGAAAAGGTCAAGTTGAACTGCAATGTCAGGTTTGTCCTGCTTTTTCAACACTGCCTGTTTTTACCACGTATGACCAAGATTCTTCAATAATCGTCTAATCCATCTCAATCAATAAGGGCCATCGTTGTCAAACGTTTTATGTCTTCTTTGTCGAACAAGGTGTACGAGTATGCAGGCAGTTAAGTTTTGCAGGCCTTTTTGCGAGAAAAAATAAATACTCATTTGTCATTGAGGAATGGATTATGTTGTGTGCTCATTCTGCAAGAGGTCCGAAGTCGAACAATATTCCCCTGGGCAGCTTAATCACGATCATAACAATAGTAACAAAGGCCAAACGTACTAAAGATTAATTATTATCAATTTAGAAATTGGGTAAAAGAAACATGTGGTGCTGCTGTTATTCTCAACTAAGGCTATAAGTATGTTAATTCCGATCCTACGGCCTCTGACCTTGCAGGGTTAAAGAGATGCAACAGAAACATATTAATGGGTCACTTCTATCTCCTATCGTCCACATTAAAGTAAAAGTTACTGTATTCAAAACGTTTTCTAAACGCCCAGGCGCCCGCTGATTACTTTTATGCTTCTATAACTGCGACATAAAAAGTCAGTAACAGTACTTGCGCTTGGAAGAACGTAAACGAGGTAGCCCTTTGCTAACGGCGAAAGGTATGGCTTTCGGCTCGATAAAGCTCCCGTAACTGGTGTTTACGTAGGGCGACCGTTCGGATTTTACTCATGCAGAGCCATTACTCATCGGCGAAGCAACTACGCCCAAGGGCGAGTGTTTGAAAGTTATCGATCTGGAAGGTCACTCTTACTTTATTTAGTGAATCATAAGTAAACTTTTATTTTTAACTTTGTAACACATCCTAATCTTTGAGGATTCGAACCGTTAGGACTATCAGCGTGATACTGAACGATGCCTATTTGTCAAGACAAAACTGGGTTGCTTTCACAATAATTTCACGGTACAGCTTTTTGTCTTGTTAAATTAAAAATCACTATTTTATTAAATGAACGTAACTTCAATGAAAGATAGATCTTTTATACAGAATGTAAAAGTTAGTTTTAATCTCAATCTCAAGATTTAAGCTTGGGCAGGTTAAGTACATCGAGAACTTGGTGTGGAACTTTTGTAAGCGGGATCGGATCAGTTGGCCGTCAAATGTTGAGGTTAGGTGACGTACTAAGGGGCTTTGACACTTTGTCTGAGGACTTTTGAATGAAAGGATTGGATGTGCTGGATATTTGATAGCTAGGATCTCACAGTTCCACTTGCATATCTAAAAGATCACAATAATGCGTAAAGTGGTGTTTTGACGGTCAAAACAGACTTCGGTCCTGAATCGGTGATTTGACTAAGTCTTATGTTAAATTGTTGCCTCTTAAGACTGATTTGGGGATTCCATGTCAGTCTGCTGTCTAGTCCTAGGTGAGTTGTTGATGAACAGTACAAGACAAGACTGTTTCTTCAATGTAAATACACAATTCCTCGTTCAGGCTTGTCCTCCACTTTATTCACCATTTTTTAGCAAATTCTAAACGTTCTTGGGTGTTGGAGGTTGCTCGATTTCCATTTACAAGACAAAATCGTCCGCTTGGTAGTGACGGTATTGGGATGTTAGGAAAGTAAGCTGTTGTCCCTTAAGTTCTGTGTAGGGATTCCACGTCAGTCTCTAGATATAGTCCTAAGTGACTAGTAGAAGTCGGTAGCCTCATGTTGTTGAGGTACAGTGGAGAACAAGACTGGTTATTCAATGTAAATATACCCTTTTTGCACCAATATTAGTTAAAGTGGATAAGATTTCGGTTAGAAGAAAGACTGTGTCACCGCATAGGTGGTTGTGATGGTGTTTGAAGGTGTACGAAAATCACCAATATATGGTATACAGGATGGGAACAAGAATGCTCCCTTGTGGGTCGCCAGCTCGTATTTTGATCTGAGGTATTTGAGTATTGCCGCACCTCACACGCAGTGGTCAGTTTTCAGGATAAGGTGCGGTTGGCAGAAAGCGTTTAAGCTTATAAACGATGCCTGGGTGCCAGAAAAAGAAAGCCTGGGCCACATCCAGAAACCCAAGTAATCTTTGTCCTCTAGAGCGAGAGAAATGGTGCCAACTTAAATCGTGGAATGATGGGGACTAGGATGGGTATTTAATGTTCTTTCGAAGAATTCTTTCGAGGGGTTTGGACATCACAAGAAGGCTGATGGATCTGTAGGAGAATGGTTGAGAGGTTTGTGAGCTGGAAAAAAAGCGAATTGTTAAAAATACAATGTATATCTACTATTGAAGTATAATTGAAATGATTAGGTCATTTCTAGGGTATCCAAGGGGTCCAAGGTGCATCACTTCTTGTGAATGAGTTTAGTAAACGTGTTTTCTAAATGTGTTGCAAATACGTGTGATTTATCTTATAAAGAGTTAAAAATCTTGAACTCTACTTCTATTCTAAAACTGAACAAAATAATAGATGTATTTTAAAACTACAGGGGGAGCCTCTAAATTTAAATTATAAACTTAAGGGAGTGTATATAGAGTATTTGTATTGTATGTATTTATGTAGAGAAACGAATCACATATTTCATTTTCTAGCTGGGATGTAGCAGTATAAATGGTATATAGGGTGGGACCGAGAATTCCCCCTTGTGGGACGCCGGGTTGTATCGGTCTGATATCTGAGCCATTGGTGCACCTCTCTCTGAAGCAGCGGTCAGCTAAATTAAAAAGGTACATATTACAAACTATTGGTGAAAGTGGATGGAATTAAATAATTAAGTTAAGACGGAATTTCTCGATTGAAGTGGGATGAAAGAGCTAGAAATTCTAATGAATTATTACCGTGCTTACAGAGTACAAAAAGCCATAAGGACAGGCTTTCTACTTAAAAACACATATTCGTAGCAGGTTTTCCACGTGTGATCTTTATCTGTTTTCCTCCAAACGATTTTAAGTTCAAAATTGTCGGAATGACAAAAAGGGCCGAAGCTGGGACTTAACCCGTTGTACTCGATTTGGGATGCTGTATTCAGATTCGTCTCGGTCATGACAGGCTGAATAAACTAGTTTCCTAGAATGGAAAATGTGCTAAACTGTAATAAAGTGGGGTTATTGACACAAAAGCTTCCAGTTTGAGGAGTAGACAAAGAAAAGTGGGCGAAACTTTTACGCTGTCAGCAGTCGAATTTGATCAGCAAAACTCCAAATAAACGCCGAACTAATTAGACATAACGCTCGAAAGTTAGGTGATTTTTTTGTCCTTCTGTCGCTTTGTACAATTTCAATTTATGTTTGTAGTAGTTAAAGTCTAAAGAGCCGAGTACCTAATGAGGGATTTGAACTAATTACTCTTTCACTGGGACGAAACCTCTCGACACACACTCGCGTTCGAGCATAAGAACAATAGACGTTGAATCGTCCATAACGGATTTCTGCCAGGGGTGCGTGAGTTACAAGGATTACATCAATACTTGGTTAAAATTCTGGCGAAGCATCCTTTCCAAGAATGAGCGATCGATCCCACCGTAATACACTCCCTTGCCGCCATTTTCCCCCGTACCCTTTTCGTTATCAAATTATCCTCCTATAAAATATGGACAATGCTAATTATACTTTTAAGAGATCTTGTCGGGACGACGAAATAAATGGGCCTTCCTTCCCTTTTTCAAAACGGATGTAAGATTTAACGCAAACGAATGCACAACTTTTGACCGGCAATGGTAGAGGCCATTACCCTCGGTGTGTATGGTTACGGAGTTGTGATCTCTTGAATATTCAAAATCAGCATTCAACCCGCGAGACTGTTGCTCGGCTCGAAACAAAATTAAAACCACAACACTCGACTAAATATAACAGACTAATAATTTGTCCTATCTCTCTCAACCAACTTGATCTATTCTTTTTTTTTAAAGTACAGCGCACATTTTGCACCGCCTTGGCACGGTTTTAATCCCATAAAGAAAAAAACACCTGAATAAGCATAAAAGTATGAACAGGGATGACAAAACTACAGAAATAAAACTTTAGTCAAGTCGTGTATCACCATTTAAAGCCACGCGTAAAAAAATGGGGGTGCAGTTTAGGCATTTTAAGCACGCCTATCCCCCCCCCCCAATTTTAAAAGCTATCACATTTTATATCGTACATGATGCTGATTCATTTCAGAACTTTCTATAGAAAGTTCATATATAGTAAGGAGAAACGTTTCGCGCCGATGTTGTTTCGAGACTTTTTTTAGTAATAAATCAGGGCCAAACACAAATGTTGATTGACTTGTCTTTCGTGTTGACTTGTATTTTGGGTTCGAATGAGGCCGATTAAGTACAACACGAGAACCGGTTCCTAGCATTTTTTCTCGATTTAATCCTATTTATTTATTTAAATATACGGATTATTATCCTTGCTACAAAAATGTAAGCTTACATTAAACGATTAACAACTAGAAACATACTTTACAAAAAATATACTATATATAACAGGCATGTGAGAATTAAAATATTAAGATAAATAAAAATATACCAAAAATATAAATATATTCAGTAAAGAACAATACAGTTTTTTGAAATTATCTAATTAAATAGATAAGAATTGTTTAAAGGC